TTTTTCAAGTCAAGTTGTTAAAGACTTTTTATCCTCTTCGGTCGTCTGGTAGAAAGCAAACAAAAACTGCCTCTTGTGCACTCCTGACAAATATATGATGCAATTGTTGACTTTTATCCCAAGTACTAAGACAGATTTCAACTGTCTAATCATTCATTCCTGTCTATTTGGTGTCCAGTCTATTTTTGGACTATTGTTAGATGTCTGTTAGATTTTCAACATTACTCAAGAACTCTTTGTTTGGACATCTATTAGATGTCTTTTAAACACACACACAAATCTGGGTCAAGATGCTAAAGAATTTTTATTGTCTTTGGTCGTCTGGTAACAAGCGAACCAAAACTGCCTTCATTGCAGTCCTGACAAAATATGATCCAATTGTCGACTTTTACCTCGAGAGTTTAGACATACTTTACATGTGTACTCATTCATTCCTGTCTATTTGATTACCAGTCTATGTTGGACTATTGTTGTCTGTTAGATTTACAAATTTAGCCTTGTTTTACCCAAGAACTCTATATTTGGACGTATGTTAGATGTCTTTTAAACACACACAGAAATGTGTTTAGGTCAAGTTGCTAAAGACTTTTTATCCTCTTTAGTAATCTGGTAGAAAGCAAATCAAAACTGCCCCTTGTGTAGTCCTGACAAAAATATGATGCAATTGTCTACTTTTATCTCAAGTACTGAGACAGATTTCACGTGTCTCATCATTCATTCCTGTCTATTTGGTGGCCAGTCTATTTTAGGACTATTGCTAGATGTCTGTTAGATTTTCAACATTACTCAAGAACTCTATGTTTGGACATCTAGTAGATGTCTTCTAAACACACACACAAATCTGGGTCAAGATGCTAAAGACTTTTTATTGACTTTGGTTATCTGGTAACAAGCGAACAAAAACTGCCTTTATTGCAGTCCTGACAAAATATGGTACAATGTCGACTTTTGACTCGAGAGCTTAGACAGACTTCACATGTGTGAACATTCACATTCACATTCATTCCTGTCTATTTGATGACCAGTCAATGTTGGACTATTGTTGTCTGTTAGATTTATAAATTTAGGCTTGTTTTACCCAAGAACTCCATGTTTGGACGAATATTAGATGTCTTTTATACAAACACAGAAATGTTTTCTAGGTCAAGTTGCTAAAGACTTTTTATCCTCTTCGGTCATCTGAAAGCAAATCGAAACTGCCTCAAGTGCACTCCTGACAAAAATATGATGCAATTGTTGACTTTTATCCCAAGTACTAAGACAGATTTCACGTGTCTAATCATTCATTCCTGTCTATTTGGTGTCCAGTCTATTTTTGGACTATTGCTAGATATCTGTTAGATTTTCAACATTACTCAAGAACTCTATGTTTGGACATCTATTTGATGTCTTTTAAACACACACACAAATCTGGGTCAAGATGCTAAAGAATTTTTATTGTCTTTGTTCATCTGGTAACAAGCGAACCAAAACTGCCTTCATTGCAGTCCTGACGAAACATGATCCAATTAATGACTTTTACCTCGAGAGTTTAGACAGACTTTACAAATGTTATCATTCAATCCAGTCTATTCGATTTCTAGTCTATTTTTGCATTATTATTAGATGTCTGTTAAATTTTCAAATTTTGCCTCGTTTTAGCCAAGATGTTTGGACGTCAACACACACAAAAATGCTTTCTGAGTCAAGTTGCTAAAGACTTTTTATCCTCTTTGGTCATCTGGTAACAAGCGAACTAAAACTGCCTCCATTGCAGTCCTGACAAAAATATGATGCAATTGTCAACTTTTACCTCAAGTGCTTGGACAGACTTCACATGTGTACTCATTCATTCCTGTCTATTTGATGACCATTCTATTTGTGGATTATTTTGCCAGGAACTCTATATGTTTGGACATCTATTAGATGTCTTTTAAACACACACAAAAATCTAGGTCTTGTTGCTGAAGACTTTTTATCCTCTTTGGTCATCAGGTAACAAGCTAACCAAAACTGCCTCCAGTGCAGTCCTGACAAAACAGCATCCAATTGTCGACTTTTACCTCAAGTGCGTAGACAGACTTCACATCTAATTATTCATTGCTGTTCATTTAATGTCCAGTCTATTTTTGGACTATTGTTAGATGTCTGTTAGATTTTCAAATTTACCCAAGAACTCCATGTTTGAACATATATTAGATGTGTTTTAAACACACAAAGATATTTTCTAGGTCAAGTTGCTAAAGAGTTCTTGGTCATCTGGTAATAAGCGATACAAAACGGCCTCCAGTGCTGCTGTCCTGACAAAATATGATGCAACTGTCGACTTTTATCTCGAGTGCTTGGGCAGACTTTACATATGTAATCATTCATTCCTGTCTATTTGGTGACCAGTCTATGTTAGACTATTGTTGTCTGTTAGATTTACAAATTTAGCCTTGTTTTACCCAAGAACTCTATGTTTGGACGTCTATTAAATGTATTTTAAACACACAAAATGTTTTCCAAGTAAAGTTGTTAAAGACTTTTTATCCTCTTCGGTCATCTGGTTGAAAGCAAACCAAAACTGCCTCTTGTGCACTCCTGACAAAAATATGATGCAATTGTCGACGTTTACCTCGAGTACTAAGACAGACTTCACCTTTCTAATCATTCATTCCTGTCTATTTGGTGTCCAGTCTATTTTTGGACTATTGTTAGATGTCTGTTAGATTTTCAACATTACTCAAGAACTCTATGTTTGGACATCTATTAGATGTCTTTTAAACACACACAAAAATCTGGGTCAAGATGCTAAAGACTTTTTATTGTTTTTGGTCATCTGGTAACAAGTGAACCAAAACTGCCTCCAGTGCAGTCCTGACAAAATATGATCCAATGTCGACTTTTGCCTTGAGAGTTTAGACAGACTTCACATGTGTACTCATTTATTCCTGTCTATTTGATGACCAGTCTATGTTGGACTATTGTTGTCTGTTAGATTTATAAATTTAGGCTTGTTTTACCCAAGAACTCTATGTTTGGACGTATGTTAGATGTCTTTTAAACACACACAGAAATGTTTTTAGGTCAAGTTGCTAAAGACTTTTTATCCTCTTTGGTCATCTGGTAGAAAGCAAACCAAAACTGTCACTTGTGCAGTCCTGACAAAAATATGATGCAATTGTCAACGTTTACCTCGAGTAATAAGACAGATTTCACATGTCTAATCATTCATTCCTGTCTATTTGGTGTCCAGTCTATTTTTGGACTATTGCTAGATATCTGTTAGATTTTCAACATTACTCAAGAACTCTATGTTTGGACATCTATTAGATGTCTTTTAAACACACACAAAATTCTGGGTCAAGATGCTAAAGACTTTTTATTGTCTTAGGTCATATGGTAACAAGCGAACCAAAACTGCCTTCATTGAGGTCCTGACAATATATGATCCAATTGTCGACTTTTACCTCAAGAGTTTAGACAGACTTTACAAATGTTATCATTCAATCCAGTCTATTCGATTTCTAGTCTATTTTTGGATTTTTTTTAGATGTCTGTTATATTTTCAAATTTAGCCTTGTTTTAGCCAAGACATCTATGTTTGGACATCAACACACACAAAAATGTTTTCTGAGTCAAGTTGCTAAACACTTTTTATCCTCTTTGGTCATCTGGTAATAAGCGAACTAAAACTGCCTCTATTGCAGTCCTGACAAAAATATGATGCAATTGTCAACTTTTACCTCAAGTGCTTGGACAGACTTCACATGTGTACTCATTCATTCCTGTCTATTTGATGACCAGTCTATTTGTGGATTATTTTGCCAGGAACTCTATATGTTTGGACATCTCTTAGATGTCTTTTAAACACACACAAAAATCTAGGTCTTGTTGCTGAAGACTTTTTATCCTCTTTGGTCATCAGGTAACAAGCGAACCAAAACTGCCTCCAGTGCAGTCCTGACAAAACAGCATCCAATTGTCGACTTTTACCTCAAGTGCTTGGACAGACTTCACATGTGTACTCATTTATTCCTGTCTATTTGATGACCAGTTTATTTGTGGATTATTTTGCCAGGAACTCTATATGTTTGGTCATCTATTAGATGTCTTTTAAACATACACAAAAATCTAGGCTTTGGTCATCAGGTAGTAAACGAACCAAAACTGCTTCCAGTGCAGTCCTGACAAAATATGGTGCAATTGCCAACTTTTACCTCAAGTGCGTAGACAGACTTCACATCTAATTATTCATTGCTGTTCATTTAATGTCTAGTCTATTTTTGGACTATTGTTAGATGTCTGTTAGATTTTTTAATGTACCCAAGAACTCCATGTTTGGACATCTATTAGATGTCTTTTAAACACACAAAGATATTTTCTAGGTCAAGTTGCTAAAGAGTTCTTGGTCATCTGGTAATAAGCGATCCAAAACGGCCTCCAGTGCTGCTGTCCTGACAAAATATGATGCAACTGTCGACTTTTATCTGGAGTGCTTGGGCAGACTTTACATATGTAATCATTCATTCCTGTCTATTTGATGACTCGTTTTTATATTATTGCTAGATATCTGTTAGATTTTCAAATTTAGCCAAGCTCTCTATGTTTGGACGTCTATTAGATGTCTTTTAATCACACACACACAAATGTGGGTCTAGTTGCTGAAGAGTTTTTATCCTCTTTGTTCATCTGGAAACAAGTGAACCAAAACTGCCTCCAGTGCAGTCCTGACAAAATATGATGCAACTGTCGACTTTTACCTTGAGAGCTTAGACAGACTTCACATGTGTACTCATTCATTCCTGTCTATTTGATGACCAGTCTATATTTGGACTATTGTTTTGTTTGATTTTCGAATTTAACCAAGAACTCTCTATATTTGGACGCCTTTCAGATGTCTTTTAAACACACACAAAAACGCTTTCTGGGTCAAGTTGCTAGAGAGTTCTCATCCTCTTTGGTCATCTGGTAACAAGCGAACCAAACCTGCCTCCAGTGCAGTCCTGACAAAATATGATGCAATTGTCGACTTTTACCTCGAGTGCTGTCTGATTGAAGAGAGTGATGAACTGAGCGGTGAGAAGAACCACTACCTCCTCCCTCAGAAACTCTGCAGAAAAAAAGAGAGCGATAGAGAGCTATAGATATCAGGCTTGGCGATGCTGCCAAGACAGGATTGAATATAATTAGGACACTACCCTATACACACACACAGATACTCCACAATCCAAGAGCAAAGACAGAACGGGGCGATCAATAAAGCGTTTTCAGATCGCCACTCTCTCAGATTAGCACCTCAGATGCTACAAAGAATGAATCGATGCTGCACCAGCTCTCTGCCAAAAACAACAAGAGCAGCGTATAACAATAAATGGTTCACCTCGACTGGCACTGAAGTTTTCAAAGGGGTCGGAGGTGTCTGGAGGAGGGGACTCTGGAGGAGATGGTGGGATTTGGGATGAGAGTTGGGTCTCGGTCTGTTCTGGATTGAGCGAGCCATACGAGTCCGCTACCGCAGTCCTGTCATCATCCTCCAGACTCATGAGGGGCTCATCTTCTTCACCTCTGACCTCTCTGAGGGGCATCTGCTGCTCAGCAAAGGAATCCAGGGGTGGGATGTCCCAGTACAGACCCATGACGGCAAACTGCATGAGCAGCCACATCCCACACATGAAGAGCTGGGCCATTAAAAGAAATGTTGAGGTGTTTATAATACAGGTAAATGTCATTAGTTTACGTTTGCTAACTTGCTATAACTAACAAGCAAAATTTTTATTACATCAATACACTTTTAGTTGTTGTTAGATTTATCTAAGCTACATATTTGTCTCTACTAGGCTAATGTAGCTGACTAATGTTAACCAATAGAACCTTACTGCAAAGTCTTAAGCCTCATGCACACTACAAGCGACTCACAGCAGCAAAGCAACAAGCGACAGTTCATTTTAATGGAGAGCCAGCGATTTCCAGTGACATCCATCTAAGTGAGTTACAGCGACCATTGGTGACCAGGTGGGCATGTTGAGCGACCCGACAAAGTTGAGAATCCTTCAACTTTATGCAAATGAAGAGCGACTTTCTTGGGCGACAGCCAATCGGAGCACCAGTAGAGCTCACCTGATCCTTTCTCAGCTAGCTCTGAGACCACTTGTATTTCACGTGCTGTAGACCTACACAGACTTGCATTTGCAGAAGGTCTCCACCCAGAGCTACAGGCAGCTAAAATGTCGCTGCTAGTGTGAATGAGGCATTATCCAATATGCAAGATTATATATATTTTCAAGATATGAACTATTGACCTTATTCTCCGCAGACGAGAATAACTCGTCATTCAACTCATTCATTTTTAGATATTTAAAACTGCTCGTTTCGCTGTTTGATGTTGTAAACTGATATTTCCTTGTTATATTATTCTACTTGGTCTGTATAGTCATGCAAACATTTGTTTGTAGAGCAAGTTTGACCGTTTTTTTGCCGTTTATTATTCCTTGTCATTTCTCCCATAGGCGACTGAAACGGAAGTTCTAAGACAATCGCGAAAACAGGCGCACTTTCGCATTTTAGAATAAGGTCAATAAAAAGTATCCGTAAATTAAGAGTTTTTCCAGGGCGACGCGGTGGCGCAGTAGGTAGGGCTGTCAGTTTACAGCAAGAAGATTGCTGGTTCGAGCCCCGGCTGGGTCAAAGTTTGCATTTCTGTGTTCTCATCACGTTCGCGTGGGTTTCCTCCGGGTGCTCCGGTTTCCCCCACAAGTTTAAAGACATGTGGTACAGGTAAATTGGGTAAGCTAAATTGGACGTAGTTTATGTGTGTGTAAATGAGTGTGAGTGGATGTTTCCCAGTGAAGGGTTGCAGCTGTGCAAAATACCCCAAAATACTTTTTCTCTTCTGTAATTTCAGAATGAAAGTGTAGAATTACAGAATATGAATTATCTTGTGAGACCCACTGACATGAAGTGTGTTTCCCAGGCCTGTTTATAATGCACCAACAGAATCTTACATTTCGGATGTCTCCATACACTTCTGATCTGATGCAACCTTTTCAGGTCTTTTCAGGAGGTGAATCAGATGTGTTATATTCAGGTAAAATCCCAAAAATGTACAGTGTGACCACATACACACTCTAAACTGCATTAGTCATGATGTGCTATATATTCCTGGTTGAGAATAGGATTACATTAATAAGAGATGACCCAAAACAAACTTACCCCAGGTGAGGTGTATTTATTAACTATGAATGGACCCAGTTTGAAATCACACAACCTTAGAAAGATATTGAAAGCCGGACCTGTAAGTAAAATGTACATTATCAAAACATTAAAAGCCATACATATATGGATTATCAACATGTATATGGTGGAATACAGACTCACCGATCAGAAGTCCAGCCTGACGACATGCCATGACAGCAGCAAAGACTCTAGCTCGCTCATCAGGGAGAGTAGTGCGTGTGAGGAACCCAAAGATGGAGGATCCAGCTCCAGCTCCAATGCCTGATAGAAAAACAACATCTTCAAATCAAATCAAATCACTTTTATTGTCACATCATCAGCAGCACGTGTGCTGTGATGAGTGAAAAGCTTGGGTGCTGGCTCCAGACCAGTGCAAAATACAGTGCAAATACAATGACAGTGCAAAATACAGACAATGTACAGTATTGTTTTAAGTATGAATTGGTGCAGTGCATGCTACATATTGATGGTGTGCAGTGAGGGGTACGAAAGTGTCTGTGTGAGGTGTGTTAAGTGTTCATCAGCCTGATAGTCTGAGGGAGGAAGCTTTCCTTCAGTCGGCTGGTGCGTGACCGGATGCTGTGGAACCATCTGCCTGTGGGTAGCAGAGTGAAAAGTCTATGGCTTGTGTGGCTGGAGTTGCTGATGATTTTCTTGGCTTTCCTCATGCACCGCCTGGTGTAGATGTCCTGGAGGGAGGGAAGCTCACCTCCCACTACTTGTCCAGCAGTTCGCACAATCCTATGTAGGCCTTTGCGATTGCTGCAGGTGCTATTTCCGTACCAGGTGGTGATACAGCCAGACAGGATGCTCTCCACAGTGCAGGTGTAGAATGAGCGGAGGATAAGGGGGCTCATTCCAATCCTCCTGAAGAAGAAGAGGTGTTGTTGTGCCTTCCTCAGCACTGCATCTGTGTGAGCAGTCCATGTCAAATCCTCTGTGATGTGGACTCCAAGAAACTTGAAAGTGCTGACTCTCTCCACTAGTGTGCCATTGATGGTGGTGGGGGAGTGTTCTGTCTTCTTTCCCCTGAATTCCACCGTCAGCTCCTTGGTTTGAGAAAAGAGAACACAACCCCATAACCATCAACGGGACACCAGTGGAGAGAGTCAGCACTTTCAAGATTCAAATTTGTCTTCTGTTTTTTTTTTTTATCTCTTTCTTTCTTTTTCCAATCCAAGCTCATGACGTGCGAACAAAATGGCTTCTTATAGCTTTTTTTGGGTTCATCATAAACCTATGGGTGACGTCACGGATACTACGTCCATATTTTTTACAATCTATGGTCCGGACCAAATGAACCAAACCACAGATATGAAAGCACCCTAGAAGAAAAAAGTCAACAAAGCCACGTGTTTTACACACAAAAATGCAGCCATTATGTACCTTAAGACACATTTTTTAAGGTTCTCAGAAAAGCATCCCTGGGCACATTTACCCAATCAGCCTGTGTTACAAAAATGCCATTTAATCCGGCAGAGATAACTCCAGATCTATTACAATATTCACACATTCATCACTTCAATACATATTATTATAGATTTATACACTTCAACACAAGTCATTATGTCTGGTCAGGATGCTCCAGTACACGACTTGCAGTAATTACAACCTAATGAGAACCATCGATCAAAAGCAACAGATCTCGTCGTTAGTATCAGTTTGAAGTCTTAAATCACATTAGCACTGATGATTTGCACCACAGGAGCCGAGAAGTTCACAAACAAAGCTCACCATGACGAATTGAACAGCTTCAAAATATCCTCACCTGCAACAAGACGACTGGACAACAGAAGCCATTTTGAATATCCCATGAAGTACATGAAGTTTCCTATGAGACAAGAGTGACGTGAGAACGGGGGGTATTTACTGTATTTTTTAAAGCCAATATTACATTATAGACATCCATTTTTTAGTACTGACCCACGATTTCGAAAACATTTGAAAAGAGGATGATGGTCTTTGTAGTTCTGGTCTTGTCTGACCAATGGCCAAACACTGGACCAGTTACCAACCCACTGAAGCTGAAGGCAGACAAACCCAAGCCAAGAAAATAAGGTGGCGCCTCTAACAACTGCAGATATCTCCATATAGTTGGCAGAATGACAGCTGAAAGAGAGAGAGAAGATCATTGAAGCACTAGATATATGCAAAACAATCAATGCATTCACCATTTACACAATCTAATGAGGATATTAAACACTATTGATTTAAACAAACAATCTGCTACGTTGAGTTTTTGAAGTATAGGGAGGAAAGAAAAGAAATGAAAAGGAAAGAGATGAATATTTACCATATTCTATGCCGCTCAACAGAAACGTTAATCCAATAGTGATAAAAGACAGTTTCCTTTTTTGTCTGTAATCCATCGTAGTGTTTCTGTAGGCTATTTTCTCAGCTCTTGATCCTTCCTCTTTCTCGTGGTCCAATTATTGTAATGAGCGGGATGCTGTTCTCCATTAGCGACTCTGGTATGTACCCTTGATCATCTTACTGTAGGCTACGCATCTCTTCTGTGCAGTTTATATCAGATTTATACAGGATATAACATATAAACCATTAGGTGCAGATAAGTAGTCTAGGGGAAATTCTAACTTGATGATTTTATATATACAGATTCTTATTTCCTCGAATATAATCATTCATGTCCCTTTCATGCACAGATGATAAATGCCTTTTATTTACCTTTTCAAGTGCTGGAGATAAACGGAGCTCGGACACTTCCACTAGTCTCTCTACACCGTAGAAGCAGGAGAGGTTTAGTATTACCTCTAGGCTTACATCCATTATTTATCATGTTCAGGTGAAGTGGACTGTAATTCTACTCCTTTAAAGCAGCATTCTTTGAATGGTTATAAGAGCTAATTCCTGACTGAATAATATATTATGCATACAGATGGTAATATCTCAAAATAACAATGTTTAAGGGATACATTCATTCATTTTCTTTTGGCTTAGTCCCTTTATTCATCAGGGGTTGCCACAGCGGAATCACCTGCCAACTTATCCAGCATATGTTTTGCACAGCAAATGCCCTTCCAGCTGCAACCCTGTACTGGGATTCATTCCCAAGCTCATTCTGAAAATGTAGCTCCGCAGGCGTTTCTGGAGACCGCGATTTACGTGGCCGGAGGTACGTATGGCCGCATTTAGTTTTTTCAAGCAAACGCTACGGGGCGGTGTGATGCCGCTCCTCTACGCGCTCGCCGGCTGGGCCGTCTGCAGGGCTTTTCCACTGCAACCAGTTTGTCCGGTTAGCTTGTCATGTTACGTCAGCGGAGCGGAGGCCCGGAGGAGGAGGAGGAACCAATCGGGTTCGATTCCGGGAAGAGTGGTTCCAGAAATCAAATAGACGGAATCAAAAAAATAAAGCGAACGAGTTCGTAACGAGGCGAGAATGCGATGAAATCCAAAAACGCGGTCATAATCGGCACGGCTTTCGTAAACCGTTGCTTGGGTTTAGGCAAGAAGGAGGAGGAGGAGGAGGGTGGCCGGGTCGGCCGATTGGCCAGCCGCCCAGTCAATCGCTCAGTCATTCAGCCAGACGGACAGACGGTTGCTTGGCAGCGGCCTCCGGAGGCATTTTACGCAAGAACAGCGCAGGCGCGAACGCCGCAACAACAAGATTTTTTAAAGCAAAATCAAAAAATAAAACAAACAAGTAAATAACAGGTTCAGAATGTGGTATCAGGCTGCAGTGAGGGCTTTTCTTTTTCTGGGTTGCTTTTGAAAACACTGTCGGTTGAGTTTAGAGAAGAGGGTGGTCGCTGGTCAACCAGTGCTTTTTAAAACAATTTCGGTTGTGTTTAGGGAAGACGGTGGGTGTGGGATCGGTCAGCCAGACAGTCAGTCGACAGTGGCCTCTGGTGGATTTATGCTAGAACAGCAAGTCTGAATGGCACTTGTGAAATAATATTGAGATCTCAAAAAGCGTACACAGCGGCCTCTGGTGGATTCGCAAAAACTGCAAAAAAACGTACCTCCTGGGACATATTTGATGCTCTCCAGAAATGTAGATAGAGGTACGTAATCAGAATGAACCTAGGTTGAAAATGAGATAATAAGTGAACACTTTTTTTACTTTCATTCACCAGTTGCTGATTAAAGCATAATATAAATTGTGTTTAAATATATACAGATATAGTTTTACTCACTGACTCTTGAACACGCTGACTGAGCATTTGAGAGCTTCACTTTGTGTCTCAACAGCACATTGAGTGCACTAGTACTATTTATATCCACTGGATGTGCAGTTTATGGCACACAACGATCTCAAGTAGTACCTGAATAACCTTCTCTTGGCTGAGAGCACTTGGTTACTTCAATGCATGCAACGAGAGAAAAAGTAACAGTTTTTTACGTACCATATAGCAATGCAATAAATGATGGAAGGTGTAGTCCGGGTGAATGGCTGGAGGTTTTATATAGCTGGAGTGCCCTCAAGTGAGTCTGCTTGGGCACTCCAGCTAATGACTGTAGCAACCATATTATTTGTTGTTTTAATACTATGGAAGTCACTGAACATGTTTTAAAAAATCTTCTTTTTGTTTTCAACAGAATAAGGAAACTCATAAACCACTTGAGGATGAATAAATAGTGAGTACATTTTCATTTTTGAGTGAACTGTCTCTTTAAGAGTCCTCTTTAATGATACTTTTAGCACTAAAATGCTTTGTGAAATACTTTGAAAGCAAAAAGGTAGGAGCCCTAAATAAAATTAGGCCTGATACATCCATGACTTTTATGATTTTCTCCTAAATCTACAAGTTAGGAGCTAATTTTAGCCTTAAGATATCTTGAGAATATGGCCCCAGGTCCACAACATTGTTGTTTACTTTTCATATACAGTAAATCATTCATTAATAATTCAAGTTATTTTGGATGAAAACTCATTAATTATTGATACAACGTTGTGCTCATAAAGCTCAAACGTACCTGAGTTTTGTCAATTGGTCTGGAGAATGTGTTTTGTCAGAGCGCAGTTTAGTAGCTAAAGCTATCATGCACAGAAGAACGCATGTTTTGAGGTAAGATAGCATTCAGAACTCATAATCACTCTGATTTTAGAATAATCGATATATACTGTAATTGTTATTAACAAGGCATTTCAGGATAGTGTTTGTACATAAAAAATTCAAACTTCAATTCTCTGTCACACTTGCTATGTCTTTGTAATTTACTGTGAAATTTGATAGGAAGAAAGCATCAGCAGTAGAAAGAAACCAAAATTAAAATGTTATATATAAAAAAAATATTAATAAACATCAGTAAGCAGTATAAAGTATTACTGTATGCCTGAAATATAAGACGTATAAATGTTCATTTGCAAAGTTTATTAATGATTTACTAGCTTATTCTGATTTACATCTTTAAAACTAGCTCATCCTAAATACCTGGTTTATAAATAATTCTTAACCTTCTACCGAATGGTGTTGACATGATATTTATATGTTCATTTCCACTGCCACTGTTTGTTAAAGACCAGCATTCTAATCATTTTGTTGAAAAGAGAAGACCTTAATTTAGCCAATAATCTACTTTGGTTAAGTCACATGATGTGCAGTGAGCATGACCGGCCTTTTTCTAATCAATCCATAGATTTTTGATAATGTTTAAGTTTGGGGACTGGGATGGCCATTCTAGAACATGTGTCATGTCTGAGCATGAACTCTTTGGTAGTTCTGCAAGTTAGGGGCTATTTTTAGCTTTTAGATATCTTGAGAATATGCCCCCAGGTCCATTGGTGTTTACTTTTTACATATTAAATCATTCATTAATAATTCCGTTGCGCTCAAAAAGCTCAAACGAACCTGAGTTTTGTCAGTTGGTCAAAACGAATGTGTTTTGTCAGAGCGCAGATTAGCAGCTAAAGCTATCATGCACAGAGGAACACACGTTTTGAGGTAAGATAGCGTTCAGAAATCAATCACTCTGATTTTCGATATTAAATCGATATTTATTAGATATTAAATCGGTATATACTGTAATAGTTTTTAACAAGACCTTTTAGGGTAGTTTTTCTACAGCAAAATGTTCACACTTAATTAATAACACTTGCTGTTTCTTTGTAATAAGTATGAGATTTGGTAGTAAGATAGCAATATTTTTTTAATTTTCAGTTAAATAAAGTCAAAATAATAACGATGGAAACCCAACAAACTGAATCATTTGATAAAAATAAATAAATAAATTATATATATATATATATATATATATATATATATATATATATATATATATATATATATATATATATATATATATAATTATTTTTACTAATTAATTATTAATCACTAAATTATTACATGGATTATGATTAATATATATATATATATATATATATATATATATATATTTTTTTTTTTTTTTTTTTTTTCATAAACCTTAATAAACAGTAAATAAAATGTACTGTATGCCTGAAAAATAATTCAATACATGTTTATTTCTACAGCGCTTTTACAATTTAGATTGTGTTAAATTATCTATCATAATCCATGTAATAATTTAGTAATAAAAAATAATCATTGACAAAGGATTTAATTTTATACACATTATAAGAATACAGCATCTGTAGCTGTATTTATAAACTGCTTACTAATGTCTATTAATATCGGATGCAGCCTTTATGATGCAAGCTGAGATTGCATCACTCAGCGATGCAATGTCAGACATGATGCACTCAAATGGAGCTAGTGACGTCATTGTGGTGGTCGGGGTTAGGGGTGGGGTCAGGTAAGCCCATGAAAAAGCATTGCAGCTCAGTTTGCACTGCACCTGGTCTGCATCCAGACCCCTCTCATTAATATAGGTAATGCTTAGCAAATGAACTAGCTTTATTAAATTAGCATGAAGTAACAAGTTTTCCACAAAGCTTTATAAAAATCACACATGATTCCATGCACTTTATTGTTTTGTTCAGGTTAAATGTAAAAAAAAAAAAGAGGAAAAAAAGTCTGTTGTGTTTACAGTCCCATAGGACATAATTATGGTGTGGCTGTAGGGGTTCCTATAGAAACCCTCTGTGACCTCCCAGTTCAGGCAGAGGAAAAATATTCCGCTGATCTCATCTGGATGCGAAGAAAACAATCCCTTAAGTGCACTCTGTTGTGCACTGCATGTCTGATGGCAAAACTGCACGCTGGTTCTGTGTCTAGATGTATGGGACATTGACCTTGTCGAAGTGGGGTCGGCGTTGTGTTAATTTAGTGCTGTAACCCAGTTAAGGGTTACTTAGTAAGACAGAAATGCTGCTGAATCAGTCCCCTCGGGGGTCTTTCAGTGTTCCTGTTAACATCACCCTGCAGGGTGCGCGGCGGCGACACATGCGGTACGTATGGAGATCAGATCCATCGCCTCAGGCTTGATTAATGAAGGTAATACTCAATAGTTGGGATGTTAGTACGAGATAAGGGCTTTGGGGGAGATTTTGCAATTATAACACCACCATCAATGAGAACACAAGTTAGAATTGTTGTTACAAATGTGATAAAGCTTAAACTAATTATAGTTTTGAATTAACTGGTGTAACATTCATAAATCTTTATTTTCTTTGTTTGTACCGTTAGAAAATCTAAGGTCAGATTTAAATTTAAATTCCTCACTTTTATTTTTTTATTTTATTTTAAATAGATGTTGTCGGGTCCACTGAAATAATCATTTTACATTAAATTAAGCTGTGGATTTAATTTAATATGGTTATAAGTAATGTTCAGATTTCAGAGTCTTGCACAGACTGCTTATTTCATTTCATAAGAGCTCAATGTGTCATCAGGAGTCACAGGTATTACTTTTGTTTTCAGAAATATATGAATTATTAATCCCTATTGACAACTGTTTCAGCTTAAATTCTTCTTTAATCATAGTTAATCCTTCTTTAATCACTTTAATCATGCTTTGTGCTGTGATGTCGTTGTTGTTTTACACTATATCAAGATAGATAGAGAGACATTTACATCTTTAAGGGAAACTTTACCCAAAATTGCAAACCTGTCACTCTTATGTTGATCCATACATTTGCTCTTTGTTAAAAATAAGAGTGATTTACTGTTTTGAATGTGGAATAGCAGTGACTTTAAAATATATTTAAAGTCTGCATGTGCAGATAATATAGTATGAATGAAATAATGTCTTTAAAAACAGTACACTTCTTTGAGTGTACAAATTGCATTAAAGGACACATATTTGACCCAGTTTAAAGATTTAAGATAAGTCTTTTATGTCTCCAGAATGTGTCTGTAAAGTTTCAGCTCAAAACACCCATCAGATTATTTATTATACCTTTTAGAATGTTAGGATTGTCTGCTTTAAACACCTTGTAGCTGTTTTTGTTGCCTGTGCCTTTAATGCTAGTTCTCCTCGCCCACCGTTCTCACGTTTCTGTCAGAGTGTGCCTCAATCTCTGCTTCGGCTGTGTCAGATAAACAGCACAGTGACAGACATGAACAAAGCAGATCTCACATAATGTTTGTGGGAAGTATTACAGTAATAGAGATTTTCCAGTGATTATCTGATGTTTTTGTTGTGGAGTTAATTCAAGCCTTTCTGCAATGATGAGTCACACACAATGCCGTTACAGATTTCACGCATACACACAAACACACACACATACAGCGGACACACACACATACAGCACGCACGTGTTTAACTTTGTGACATGTGACAGGATACACGTTAATATCCACTGCTGTATGGGTATCTGTTATGCTAATGTACAAAATAAACCTGATTTAACATCCACAAACCGGGATTGAAGCTTCTTCTTTCATAACTGTACTGATACATGGCTGTGGTGATAAAGCTGAAGTAAATCACTGTGATTCATTACAAACATGCACATGTTTTAAAAACGTTTTAAACTTGTAAAACTTGATCACATTTGATGATGATTGATGATCACAGAGGGCTGAACAGATCTTTTAATCCGCGTTGCTTTGCGCACATCCGGTTTTGTTGATATGATTATACGTGTTACTACGGAGACGTGTTAATATGCGACGTGTTAATGTTCGGTGAGAGGGGAAACCACACTTCTACGTCACGTTGCGGTGGGCTTCAAAATGGAAGGGATTTGGATCCTATTTTAACAACAGGAAATAAAAAAAGAGACTTGAGTTTCTATCAGTCCATTATGACTGTGGCCACACTACACCTACACACCGTTTTGTCCAAACAGCTTACAAAAGATGATTTAGGGTTTACAGAGAATGGTCCAGAAAAGAGAATATATTCAGTGAGTGGAAGTTCTGTGGGGGCAAATGCCTTGTTGATGCTAGAGGTCAGAGGAGAATGGCCAGACTGGTTCAAGCTGATAAAAAGACAACAGTAACTCAAACTAGAACCTAGAACCTAAAGTTCATTGATAAACTTTGATGTTGGCTTGAGAAAGCCAACGTGGCTGCGCTAGGACTGGGAATGGCAGTTGGCAGAAAGCATGGCTAAATGGCAATGCTCTTGTACATGTTTGATCAAATGCTAATACTTAGTAGGCATTTCTAGCATATGTTATTGCATTTAGATAATCATTCATAGCATGTAGCTAATCGTTATTAGCACTTGGCTTCCATTATCATTGTTACCATGCATAGTACACAGGAAATCCCATTTGCTAGCATGAGTCAAACAAGCCAATGCCCAGGTCCCTACGATGTTCTGATGTAGAGATATTGCTATTTTTAAATGGTTGCTAGGTTATACTGTTTTATTGCTATGGGGACATTTGACAGGTTAGTGATGATACATCAAAGCTTCTTGGCAATATGAGTGATCTTAATCAACCCTGATGTTTCTATGACAGTCTTTATGAGTGTCAAAAACTGGACTTGAACATTATGTATTCCTGGTGTTGGGTTGCGGCTGGAAGGGCATTCGCTGTGTTAAAACAAATGCTGGATAAATTGGCGGTTCGTTCCGTTGTGGCGACCCCTGATTAATAAAGGGACTAAGGGAATGAACATTATGTAAAAATGGCTTGCCGTATTTTTTTGAAAATGCAATGCTTAATAAGTGTGAAAGTGAAACATGCAAAAATGGCTTGCCATATCAGTAAAAATATGGAGTTTAAGTCAAAAATGGCTTGCCATATTTTGAGAAAAATAATGCTTAAAAATTATTTATTGGAAAACTAAAAGTCTGATAAACCTTAAAGATATAGCAACAAAATCTAACGCATGTAAATACAGCTTTTGGCCAAATTTAGGGCTTGTATAATTTTTTTTATATGCTCGGATTATAAAAATTTAATATTTAACATTTTTTATATTAAAAAAAGTCTTATAGGCATGAGGAGATATAGCAACAATCTTGAATGTAGAAGGCACATTTTGACCACATTTGGGCCTTGTGGCATGAACGGCCTAGGAGGAGATACGTTTGTTTTCAAGGACAGAGTAGTATAACAGTATGTTGGCTTTCTCAAGCCAACATAATAATCACTCGTTACAACCAAGATATGCAAAAGAGCATCTCTGAACACACAACATATCGAACCTTGGGGCGGATGAGCTACAGCAGCAGAAGAGCACACCAGGTGCCACTTCTGTCAGCTAAAAACAGGAAACTGAGGCTACAATTCACACAGGCTTAGCAAAATTGAACAATAGAAGATTGGAAAAACGTTGTCTGGTCTGATGAGTCTTGATTTCTGCTGCAACATTCGGATGGTAGGGTCAGAATTTGGCATCAACAACATGAAAGCATGACTATCCTGCCCTTTAACAACACTACAGCCTACCTGAGTATTGTTGCTGACCATGTCCATCCCTTTATGACAACAGTCTACCTATCTTCCGATGGCTACTTCCAGCAGGATAACACACCATGTCATAAAGCGTAAATCATCTCAGTCTGATTTCCTGAACATGACAATGAGTTCACTGTACTCAAATGGCCTCCACAGTCACCATATCTCAATCCAATAGAGCACCTTTGGGATGTGGTGGAACGGGAGATTCGTATCATGGATGTGAAGCCAACAAATCTGCAGCAACTGCGTGATGCCATCATGTCAATATGGACCTAAACCACTGAGGAATATTTCCAGTACCTTGTTAAATCTATGCCACAAAGGATTAAGGCAGTTCTTAAGGTGTACCTAAGAAAGTGGCCGGTGAGTGCAAATATGAGTTTGTTCTATTCGGACCCTGTCAAAGAGTTGCTGAAACTTCATTGATCAATGGCATCTATGCTTATCATGATATGTCCTGAAAATAATAATGCCCTCATATACATAGGTACCACCTTGTACAAAAACACAGCATGCCAATTTTCGAAGCTGTTGGACCAGTGGCCACTTAAAGCTCCTTTTTAATAGTTGCACCCCCAAGTATTCAAGCTGCACTTTTTTTTTTTACAGTGGCCCACACGAAATCTGTGAGCGTAGAAATCTGCAGATTTCCATCGATTTTTAGCCCATCATTGCGTCTATTTACTAATGTAAATGTGTGTAAATATATTTTTTAACCTTTTATAATATTTGACTAACTAATGTTTAACCGTTTACTGCATTGTAAATGATGACGATGTGTCATGTCAACAACCCATATACATTGGTGATGAAATGATGTGTAGTAAGAGAGATATTCTCCGGCTGTTTCTCAGGGATGTAATCCACCATCAGGCCCAGCTGCATGATTCTGGGGGGAACTGGAGGAAAGAGAGGGAGCTGAAGTGCAACGAGAAAGCCCGGGCTCAAATCCCAGACTCCAGTGTCGGAGAAGACAGAGCCGTCCTCCTGGGCTTCCTCATGATGACCTGCTCCATCCTCATGTACCTGATGGTGGGAATCTTAATGGTCAAACCGTGCATCCATAGGTTAGTTTCAGCGCTAGACAGCCCGTCAGTTTGATGATACTTAAATGAAAGCAACAGCTGCTAATAACTACTACAATGATAAATTTTTTTTATAAATGAACACTGTAAATAAATGTAACCCAGGGCCGCAAAATCAGTTGAGCTAGTTTTTTTAGTTTTTTTTTTTACCATAGCCAGAAATACATATTGTGAGTGTCAAAATGATTGATTTTCAATCCGTGCCAAAAAACTTTAGACTTTACTTTAAAAAAGTAAAGCACGTTGTTGACTTTACTTTAAAAAATTGAGAAAACGCTGCTTTAAGTAAATGAACTATGTGCATAGATATAAAAATTAAGAAAGCTTAAGGTAAGCTTAATAGTCCATAATGTATGTGTGTGAATGTGAGTTTGTATGGATGTTTGCAAGTGATGGGTTGCAGCTGGAAGGGCATCTGCTTTGTAAAACATATGCTGGATAAGTTGATGGTTCATTCCGCTGTGGTGACCCCTAAAGGAACTAAGTTGAAAGTAAAATGAATGAATCAATGAACTTGTACATTTTTTTATCAATAGGTGTACTCATTTTTTTATGTAATTGCTTTTTACAGTGCAGTAAAAATAGCTGGGTTCCACAAATCGAAGTTAAGATTGCTTTAAATCTTAACTTTTTTGTTAAGGCGAGTAAACCAGTTGCCTTAAAAGAAACAAGTTGACTTTACAAAAATAATGTAAGTAAACGCATTGTAACTTGGGACTTTTAAGGTGACTTAATTTTTATTATTATGCGAATTGTATTTTTAAAAATAAAAGTAAACTAACCACTGTTTTCGTTACACCTTTATTATATATCTTTTTCCAGCTTTTCTGTATCTAGCAAAATGACGATAACTAAAATAAATCTGCTCTTCCAGACTCCTCCAGTGTGTCTTCTAAATTTAATACAGGCTATAATTGTGGATTTTATCGACTTAATGAAGCACCAAATATGTAATTTTTGTTTTGCGATTTCTTGATCTTGCTGAGGCTAATATTTTATATTTTAAAACTACACATAATATGTGTAGAACAACTTATAAGCCAATTGTCCAACTAATTTTGGACCCCTAACAAGTGGGAAGCACATATGCAAACTGTTGTAATTCCTACACAGTTCACCTGATATGCAAATAACCTTGAATTAAAGCTGACAGTCTGCAGTTAAACAACATCTTTCAGGGTAATTTCACATCAACTGAATTGGTTTCTAGGTCCAAAAATGTTAGAATTGTGTCGATATCCAAATATTTTTGGACCTAACTATATATATATATATATCGACACATTGCAAAATTATATATATATATATATATATATATATATATATATATATATATATATATATATATATAATTTTGCAATTTCTTGATCTTACTGAGCCTAATCTAGCATTTTATATATTATAACTATACATAATATGGGTAAATCTAAAATAGTAACCTTCTCTGATTTTTTTTTTCTGCACACATTTCAAAGTATGTTTATATACTGGATTAATTGGATTAAAAAATATATATGGCTTCTGAGTGTAACCTATTTCATTCATTTTGCCTTAAAGCAAAAAGTGAACCCCCATAGAGGGTCCCAAAATAGTATTTGTACTTTAAATAGTTTTTATGTCATGTGACCACATGAAAAAAAAAGGTACTGCTATTGGCTATTTGGTTTTTATGGATTTCTAATGTACATTTGGGGTGGTACAGTGGCTCCTGAATAATAATTTTGCTAATAATTAATTACAGTTTTCAGTTTTACCCGAAACTGTAATTTGAGGAAAAATTGTAAAAAAATTTAGCTGTAACACATTACAGTATTTTTTTAGGTTTGCCCAAAGAAATATTATACTTTGATAGAAGGGTAACTAAATATATAAATTTTCCATAATAAAAAATCTATTTTGTACCAAAGTAAGAAATAGTTCATGTATTCACACACAAAAAAAAAAATTATTAAGTTTGAACCAAATTTATATTTAATGTAAGAAATTACATCATCTTTTTTTAAAGTTGGTTCGAAGTATACTTTTTTCAGTATATTTTATATTGAAGTGCAGTAGGTGATTGTCTTCAGAAGCATTTTTCTGCGCAGTCGTTTGGACGCATCTCCACCAACCACTGTTTGTGCTGCGCGTTCACGAGAGAGAGAGAGAGAGAGAGAGAGCAGATGCACGATCGGTACAAACCTGCTGAATCAAAACTTTTTAAAAACCTGAATCAATATTGGAGTTACCTTTGCACACTGGAGAAAGGATGATACCATGACTGAAGGATTTCTCTTAGATAAGTGATGTTCTGTTTTAGCTTCACGCAAAGCTGATGTAACGTTAGATGTTGTTGTCAGATTGTATCTTCACAGAAGTGTTATTCAGCGACTAAAATCTTCTGATGAAAGATTGATAAGACTATTTTCAGTTTTATAAGGGACCTTTTACAGCATTGATAATGTAGATTTTTATTAGTTTAACAACAAAACACAAGTAAATAGCACTTTTCCGCCTAGTCTCTCCCTATATTGTTTACCATGCAACTCTAAATATTCGCTCTGAAATAGCATGTCAGTTTGGCTTGCACGCTGCCAGACAACCAGTCGCTTTTAACACATGAGAGAGGGTTCTTTTGCTGTGCTCGTGTTTAAGGAGGCGTGGCTCTAGACGGCAGGGGAGGGATTGTGATTCAGAGATTTATGCTAAGCTGTTAGCATTGTGAAAGATCACCTACTGCACCTTTAAGCATTTCAATCATTCACTATAATAAACCATTTAATGTTTTGTGTGTGTAACAGTGATTGGATAAGTTCTGTGAACTGCTCACTGGTGCACATTGATTTGTCGGATGAAGTGATGGACTGCCGTGGCATTGTTAACTTCAAATGCCTGCGTGCTTTAGTAAACATCACAACCTCTAACAAAACGTCATCGCTTCAACTTTACTATGATGAAGACGCTGTGAATTCCAGGCTTAAGGTACAAATATCAGTGTTATTCACACACCATACATTCACACACATTACTAACATGATTCATCAATATAACAACGCATACACACACATAAATTTTCACAACACATGCAAATACAGAAATTGTGCTGCAAATAGCGCACAGCACAACACAACATCAATATAATATTATTTGGCCGAGTATTGATACTTTTAATGAGATATTTTATTATCAAAATATTCATGACACATTTATAATGGCAATCATGTTTAGGCCAGATTTATGATAAGTTCTGTTCAAATGAATTTTAATTTAATTTAGTCAGAAATAGTGTATTTTACAACAAACTTTTGTTTATTTTACTACTTTTTAAACAGGGAAATGCAGCAGTAAGATTTTCTAAATTAACATCCTTATAAGACAACACAAATTGTTCTAAGTTACACACAAAGATGTATTTTAAAACATATATAATTAGCATTTTTATCCAAAATTGATTCACCATACAAATTTGGTCCAGCCTGATCTTATGAAGAAACGTTACTATTTTACATTTTGTCAGTTTAGTGGCTAATTCATACTAATGAAAATGTATGATTTTTAAAAATAGACGTGGCACCTAACCCAACTATCATTGGTGAGATGAGCAAATTATACTAAAATATATGAAAGAGATCATACGAATTCATACAAGTTAGCCACTAAATCAAAAAGTTACGGAATTGCTGTGAGATATAATCAAAATGTCTCTGTTATCTGTTTCAGTTCTAGACAAATTCTTTCTCCAGTGTTTCTACACTCCCTAATGCCAACAAAACTAATAACAGCGTCATTGTTATTTTTCTCGACCTCAATTGCATGAATTCAATTTGTCATTAAAATGCCATCAAAAGTTTATAAACACCCTTATAAAGTTACTTGACAGAGGATTGACACTTTTAATGAGAAATTTTATCATCAAAATATTCATTATAATGGCAATCATGTTTATGCCAGATTTATGACAAGTTTTGTTGAAATTAATTGTAATTTAATTTAGTCAAAGTATTTTACAACAAATCTTTGTTGCTTTTATTACTTTTTAAAAGGGATAGGCAGCAGTATGAATTATTTAAATTTAAATAATTTTCAAATCAAACATATTGTTCCAAGTTACACACATCCAAAACTGAGTTACCATGCAAATGTCTAGACTGATCTTATGAGGAAACATAACTATTTTACGTTTTGTCAGTTTAGTGGCTAATTCGTATGAATGAAAATATAAGATTTTTAAAAATAGGCGTGGCATCAAACCCCAGCCCTAAACCCAACCTCATTGGTGGGATGAGCACATCATACTAAAATGTATAAAAAGAGCTTGTATAAATTCATACAAATTTATACAAGTTAGCCACTAAATCGAAAAGTTAAAAATTGTTGTGAGATATCATAGAAATGTCTGGTATCTTTTTCAATTCTAGACTAACTCTTCTCCAAGTGTTTCTACACTCCCAAATGCCAAAAAAACTAATAACAGCATCATTATTTTTCTTCACCTCAATTACATAAATTTAATTTGTCATAAAATGTCATTGAATGTTTATAAACTCATCAAACTAAAATGTTTTTTGACAGAGTATTGACGCTTTTAATGAGAAATTTTAGCTTCAAAATATTAATGACACAATTATAATGGCAATCATTTTAATGCCAGATTTATGACAAGTTCTGTTGAAATTAATAGTACAAATTATTTAGTCAAAAATAGTGTATTTTACAACAATATTTGCTTCTTTTACTACTTTTTAAACAGGGATATGCAGCAGTAAGAATTTTTACATTAATTTTAAGATTACACATAATGTTCCAAGTTGCTCACAAAGATTTCTTTTAAAACATATAATTTGCATCTTAAAGTGAGTTACCATACAAATACAGTCTAATTTCAAGAGGAAACGTAACTCTTTCATATTTTGTCAGTTTAGGGGCTACTTTGTACGAACGGAAATGTATGATTTTAAAAATAGGCATGGCACCAAACCCCACCACTAATCCCAACCATTATTGGTGGGCTGAGCACATCATACTAAAATTTATGAAAGAGATCATACAAATTTATACAAGTTAGCCACTAAATCGAAATGTTACGAATTGCTGCAAGATATTGTTGAAATTTCTCTGCTATCTGTTTTAACTTTAGACAATTTTTTTCTACCTGTATTTCTACAATCCCAAATGCCAACAAAACAAATAACAGCATTATTAATATTTTTTCCAAACTCAATTGCATGAATTCAGTTTGTCATTAAAATGCTGTCAAATGTTTATAAACACCCTTATAAAGGTTACTTGACAGAGGATTGACACTTTTAATGAGACATTTTATCATCAAAATATTCATGACACAATTATAATGGCAATTATAATGTTCTGTTGAAATTAAGTGCAATTTAATTTAGTTAGAAATTGTGTATTTTTTTTAAACAGGGGTATGCAGCAATAAGATTTTCCAAATAAAATAATTGTAAGATCACAAACATTTTAAGTCATGCAGTGAGTTACCATACAAATGTCCAGCCTGATCTTATGAGGATCCGTAACGATCTTTTGTCAATTTAGTGGCTAATTTGTATGAATGGAAATGTATGATTTTTAAAAATTGGCTGCCACCAAACCCCACCCCTAAGTCCAACCTCATTAGTGGGATGAGCAAATCATACTAAAATGTATGAAAGAGATCATATAAACTCATACGAGTTAGCCGCTAAATTGAAATGTTGCGAATTGCCATGAGATATCACTGAAATGTTTCTGCTATCTGTTTCAATTCTAGACAAACTCTTTCTCCCAGTGTTTCTACACTCCCAAATGCCAACGAAACAAGACGGAACAAGAAACCGAGGCCCGTAACATCAAACAAGCATTAATTACACAAAGGGAAAACCTGACATGCTTTCTCAGCCCTTCACACCCAGAAGACGCCATCTGCAGGAGAAAATATAACTTAGAAATGGCCCTGTATTACTTGCTGTGGCCCAGCCTCATGTTGTTTGGCGGGATCGTCCTGGTGGGACTAGTGAAGCTCAACCAGCATCTGGCTTTGCTCTGCTCTGAGATCAGCAGGGATGAGTTTCTGGACAATCAGAGTAACCAGGCAGAGGGAAGGATCTACCAGCTCTTGAAATGCAGATCTGGAGAGACCGCAGAGCAGCATAAACCACTTAGCTAGGAAATTACCCAATCTAAACACTACTGAAATGGGAAATTTAGCAGCTATAGCTTTATTTGATGCCTTATGATAGTAAAGGGATACTTCAAACTAAAGTGAAAATTAAGTCATCATTTAATCCAACCCAGGCTCTTTCTGAAAACTTACCCCAATATACATTTCTGGAGAATGCCAAATATGTCCCAGGAGCTACATTTTTTGCAGTTTTTGTTTCCGCAAATCTACCAGAGGCCTCAGTGTATGCTTTTTGAGATCTCAAATTTCTCCCACGAGTGCCATTCATACCTGCCCCTCTCGCGTAAATCCACCTGAGGCCGCTGTCAACTGACTGACTGACTGACTAACCGATCGACTGACCCACCCTCCTCCTTCCCTAAACCCAACTGATAGAGTTTTCAAAAGCACAGATTGACCAGTGCTTACCCATTTCCCTAAACCCAGCCGCAGTGTTTTCAAACGCAATCCAAATTTGGCTTTTGTTTTTGTCTTACTGCTTTCTGGAACCGCTATTTAGCGGACTCAAACCCCATCATCCGTGGTCAATTCTGCTCCAGGTCACAAGTCCAGCGACAAAAGTGGTGAGCCAACGGAAAAACTGGATACAGCGGGATTGACGTCCATACGGGGGTAAGCGGTCAGCTGATAAGCATGAAAAGAAACAGCATCATACCACCCTGTAGTGTTCGTTTTAATGACGAAATGCAGCCATACATAGCTCTGGCTATATAAATCGCTATCTCCAGAAATGTATATTTTCAGAATGAGCTTACTTTGGGTTAATTTAATCACCTTTCCAAATCTTTATGAGTTAATTCTTCTGTTGAACAGAAAATTAGATATCACAAGAAAAAAGCGTACAACCATTGACTTCAGTAGTATTTGTTTTTCATACTATGGATATCAGTGGTTACTGGTTTCATTCTTCAAGTGTAACATTTTTTAAGTGTAAAGAAACTTAAAAAGCTTTGGAACTACATGAGGATGAGTAAATAGTAGCTCAATTTCATTTTTGGTTGAACTGTCCCTTTTACGTTAGTGCCTTATGCCCTGACTGTAGGTTTTTATAATGTTGGGATTGATTTTTATATTTGAATAACTAGTAAACATATAAAGTTGTGAATCTAGTTGGATGATTGGTCATTTTAGAAGGCTTGTTTATGGGTTTATGTTTTTGTATGTGTTTACATATTTAACACTTTTTCAATGAATTACCATAAAAACTTTTATACGTTTGATGAAACTTACTTCAGAGAGAAGAAAAATAGAGAAAAAAGCTTTTGAAAATACGTTTTTTAATACTGTTAGGTATGAAACTTTGGGATAAAGGTAACTAGGGTTGGGACCCATTTGGCATTGTATGATGTCTAATGTGAAACATCGCAATAGACAATGGCATCATCGTCATAGGCGGCTTTGAATTAATTATTTATGAATAATTAATTCACCACACAAATTCTATAAACAAATTCTTGTTTATAGATAATTGACCAGCAAAAGATACATTAAAGTTAAGATAAAAGTTATAGCGAATGGAAAAATAGAATTATATTTTTGTTTGTGCCCCTCCACTACTCAACTAAGGAGGGGATGATTTGTTTCGCTCTGTGGAAAATAAGGATTTAATGAATGCCTCACTGTAATTGTTGTATCACAAACCTCAGTTATATATTTGCTATTTTTTTAATATACCATTATTTTAAAGATTATGTCTTGAGCATCTGAGTTTTTCTTGCTGCTGCTGATGTGCTTTCATTTTCTCTGTCTCACTCACTGCAAGTTCAGGCAAGAGTGTTTACTAAGCAACCCTGGCAGGAAAGTATACATTAAGATTTTAAAGAAAATATCCTAAAATTAAAAAAGAATCACAAGTTTGATGCTATCCATGTTGTAAGGAATGCCCTTAAATAATGTAATTATTAGTCGTCAGCAAACTTCAGTGTTTATTGAGATTGAAACCAGAGGTGAACTCCAATTAAACAGCTGAAACATCTCAAGAATGATTAGCAATTTAGAGCTTCCCGGCAATGGCTGTGAATACTTATGTACATCCCTGCTGAAAAATCCAGCTTAAACCAGCCTAGGCTGGTTGGCTGGTTTTAGCTGGTTGACCAGGCTGGTTTTAGAGGGGTTTTGGCCACTTACAGGCTGGTTTCCAGCCATTTCCAGCCTGTTTTAGCTGGTCTGGCTGGAAAATGACCAGCTAAATCCAGCTAAAACCATCTTGACCAGCCTGGTTTAAGCTGGACATAGCTGGTTTTGGCTGGGCTCCCATCCTGGCTAAGCTGGACAAGCTGGTTTTAGCTGGTCATCTCCCAGCCTGACCAGCTAAGACCAGGCTGGAAATGGCTGGAAACCAGCCTGGAAGTGGCCAAAACCCCTCTAAAACCAGCCTGGTCGACCAGCTAAAACCAGCCAACCAGCCTAGGCTGGTTTAAGCTGTTTTTTTTTGGATGTGATTTTTCAGGTTTTTATTTTTAATAAATTTGCAGCAATTTCAAAAAATCTTTTTTCACATTGTCATTATGAGGTATTGTGTGTAGAATTGTGAGGAAATAAATTAATTTAATCTATTTTATAAAAAGGCAAAAGGTAACAAAACAATTTGGAAGTGAAGCGCTATACTTTCCAGATGCACTGTATATTCACTAAGAAATGGATAAAATTATTAATTTTCAAAATGTACTCATTTATAGTGAGCCCTGAATTTATTTACATTATCCAACAAACACATGATTTATACAAGATTATTCAAAGGATGTCAGACGCTGCTTCAAACAGCTGCATACATATTGCATTGTTTATATTTTTAATACCTTTATCCCAAAAGCACTATAAGCCCATTTGGCTTACGCCGCTACTCCAGCGATATGATTTGTGGACACAATATTGCTTAGTCATGGAAGACTAACATCAATCTCCAGTCAATCCTTGAACAGCAGGAATCCGAAAAACCATTTGAAGGAGAAATGAAAAGCTCCCTCCGTTTGCTTCACCTAGTCAGTCGATGTCTGTGCGGCTTTCACTTCGGGGCTTTGTCGATTTGTTCACACAGTATGGAGAGGTATTGCGTGAGCTTGACCATGAGGATGATGAGCGTTCCTCCGGATAACATGCAGGATGGCCAGAAGAGCGAGTGTAAAAGCGAAGCGCTGCCGTAGATTCGCTTCAGGAGGATACTGGCCTGATGCTCGCTGGGATCGTGGAAACACCTGACCTGCTGCTGCATCTTCAGGTGATCCGAAATATTCTGGATCAGAACGCGCATGGCGGTGTGGTCCTTCTGGCATTTTGGCACATAAAAACACTGCAGAAAAAAACAAACAAATCTATTTTAAACACTGACAGTAAAGTCATGAGTTACTTCTTTATCACATTTAAACTCCTAAGCACTCTACCAGCTTTGTTGGCCCAAGACTTTTGCACAATATATAATAAGTCAGTCTCTTTATTAAAAAACACAAAACAAACAGAAATTCCTCACCTTAGAATTAGGTTCTATCTAACATTTTTGTCAAAATTGAGTTATTTACATATTCTTATTAAATTACAACTTATTTACATTATGGGATTTTTTTTTAATAAGTTGTTTACATTTTAAGACTTTAAAGTTGATGAAATATAGAAAATATGTACAAAACAACAGCATAACATTTTCTCCAAGCTAAAGTCTGTTTAGTGGGGTTTTGTTTAAATTCTGTACTTTTCAACATTCACAATTCATCAATTTAGACAATATCCTGCTAGAAATGCCAGGACAAACAGCTTTCCCCAACACTGTCTTTCACATGTCTTAAACAATGAAACTAAAATAATTCAAACTCTAAGCTAATCTGCTGGGTTTTTAGTTTCACCTCATGTAAAAACATTGATTTGTTTAATGTTACAGGTTTTCATGCAATTTTCTAGTGAAGTCAACTAGTTGGGTTCATTTTTTTCATATAATTGCAGATGTTACAGTAGACTATCATTGATCTGCAGTTAATAGTGTTCATAGAAAGGTTAATAATGAGCATTTATACACAAGCGTTTATGTGTATAAAGTATCTGTTTTGTGAGAATTGCTTCTCATTTAATATGGTAATGACACGTACAGCTTTACTTTGACATTACCTTGAGGGAGAAAGATATTGGCTGAAACATTCTGTTGTACACCATTGGTAGTATAACGTTTACCATTTGGCAGTGGAAACGCAAGCCCAATAAAGGTGACCCATACCGACCTGTACCGTACCATACTGTACCACTCAGTGGAAATGAAGGCAAATCTGAATCAAAATTCTGCTTCACTTACTGTCTCAAGAGCTAGAGTACCTTCTTATGATCGAATTTTAAAGACAGTATAGATGTATCCTTTGCTGTCTTAGATATTCCACAGTCCTGTGCATTCCATTTCTGAAAGTTGAGCTAAAAATAAACATGGCATCTTGAAGCGTAGATTGAGTGTCTATTTGTGGGAAGATGTACTGTTTAGACAAATTATTTGTGTAACGGAGGCCAGCTAGTGTGTGCTGTGCAGGTAAACCTCACTCCTCTGACCTCTAAAGGTGCTCTAGCTACAGATGCTAGAGGCCATGGTCTTCAGCCTCCTTGGTAGAGCAACCAACTCCCATGCGGAAGGCCGTCGGTTCAACATCAGCTTGGAGCAGGGTTACATTTGCAAGTTAGGGTAATTTAGGCAAGTCATTGTATAATAATGGTTTGATCAGTAGACAATTAGGGAAAAATGCTTAAGGGGGCTAATAATTTTGACCTTAAAATGGTTTTTAAAAAATTAAGAACTGCTTTTATTCTAGCCAAAATAAAACAAATAAGACCTTCTCCAAAAGAAAAAAATATTACAGGAATTACTGTGAAAAGTGCCTTGCTCTGTTGAACATCATTTGGGATATATTTGAAAAAGAAAAGGAGGAATAATAATTTTAAACTGCAGCTTTAAGTTAGCATTGTGGTTATTCCCTTACCTATACTGTATGCGATTACATTGTTCTGCTATCTTTTACAAGGTGTCTTTCATGCACAAATGTGCCTCCAGACTCACTGCTTGATTGGGCAGCGAGGCAACAAACCAGCTGCCCAAACATTCAGACGTAGCCAATATAATCTCACTGCTGTTTAGCTTTTAAGTCTTTTTTACTCCATGGTCTTCCTCAGAATGTTGAATGATGAATGGATTCACCTCAGAACTGACATCCAGCATTTCCTCATTGTGAGAGAGCAGGCCGATGCGACCGGTGGCATTCAGGCTGACGTAGACCTGCAGACAGGGGTATTTCGAGCTTCGCCAGCAGTCAGAGCCACAGTTGTAGGAGCAGTTGATTTCCTTGGTCAGAGAGGAGTTCAGCACAGTGCAGGTGGTCTCATCGATCAATAGACTGCATTTGGCAAAGGGAAGAACATTTGTAATCACAAAAATTTAAAGGGCATCTATGATTCTCAGATTATCTTTTGGAAACTGTTTGGACATAACTGTGTGTAGGTATAGTGTCTCCACTGTCAAATTGGATTGATATAAACACACCAAGTCTCTTTTTTTAAATTTCCTGATGTTAAAATAAGATCTAAAACCTAGTGATTTTGAGGTGCACCGCAACGTGACGTAGGGTTGCGGTTTTCCATGCCACTGAACTGATTGACAGGTGCGTATTAACATGTCTCTGAAGTAATGCATATAATCATGTCCACAGAACAGGATTTGCAAAGAAACTGGGATTATAAGATCTGTTCCGACTCTCTGTGATCAGCTGCACCTCAAGAATGAGTTTAAAATAAGTTTAAAATAGAATAGTTTTAGGACCACTTTGATGAAAGGTTCTTATCCACTTCAAAGGTTGACTATTGCATATTGCTGGCATAGATATTATTCTAGTAATTTGGTATTGAAGCAGTCATGATATAGCACTACCTGTCTGCATAAGCACGCACCATGGTGATACAAATCACAAAGTACATCATGACTGAGCTGAACACCATGCTCAAACCCAGCAGAATGGCCCTGTCCTCCCCAGCCTTCAGCGCCGTCTCTGTCCTTTTTTTGTCCTTCAGCTCATGTCCCCACAACCGCTTATAAATCACCCTAGAAAAGAAAAATTCAAACAGCGAAGTGTTTTTTAGTCATGGATGCTAATGGGATATAAAATAATGTAAACAACTTTTACATTAATTATGTTTAAAGGTTTAGTATGTAGGATTGATATTATACATGCCAGTTTAATAAGAGCTAAAGGAGCAAAGACTTTGAAATACACAAGACGTGTCACTCGTATCGTTTTGAATGGGGAAAGGTGTAATATGATGAATTAAGCCCCGCCTTCTAGTACAGGAGCCAATCAGCGATTGTTATAGACTGAGGATTTTCCAGGGGAGGGCTGAGACCAGATGTGAATTTATGCAGATTTTGTGACTCAAATGTTTAGAAATTAAACTAAAGGGACAGTTGTTGTTTAATTGTATATTAAATATAATTATAAGCTTGGCAAGCAATTTTGGAGAATTTGATGTTTCCGATTTAAACAGAATGCCTGAGCATACTGCCCGAGAGGCATTTCAAAGATGGCCGCTGATTGAAATCACTTGCCTTAAAGTGACTTTAATTGAACCTTAGTTGTTAGATGCTCAGCTAACGTTTTTGTTTGTAATATTTGTATTTTTTGGTAATTAAAAACCCCTTTATTGGTGTATTGTTTTAACTCTGAATGATCTGCGACTGATTTCCAACAAAGTAACCCAAATTGCTGAAATATAATTGGATAAACTGGCAGTGGCCGGGATTTCCGGGTACGGCGCCTTACTACGAGTTAGCTCAGCTGTAATATATTTTAAAGGTGCAGTTTGTAGGTTTGACACCCAGTGGTTGAATTAGGTATTGCACACCTGGTTCAAAACACATGTCAGCGCAGGTTGCCTGCAGTGTGCCTGAGCCAGTGTGCCTGATTGTTCACACCAGACGCAAAAGAAGCATTAAGCCGAATCATTTACATGTTAAGTCAATGCAAAGATATGAATAGACATCTTGTGGTGCAATACATGTAAATGAGGCAGCGCGAATGACGTGATTTGAGCGTATGAAGCAGCGCAGGTTGAGCGCTTTTCGCGATTGATGTCCGTATCGCGTGTTTCGCTTGAATCGCTTAATTTAAAAAATCTGAACTTCTGCAGACATTAGCACGGCGTTAACCAATCAGGAGCTTGCTCTTGTGGGGGCGTGATTATGATGTAGCGCATGTTGTTGGTACAGGTCATGAAACTGGGTTCAGCTCAGTCAGAAGCACCGCTGAATGCTTCCATCATTCAGGTTAAGTTTCTGGAGCAGTTTATGAGCTCACAGAGCTGGGTACACCTCTGAAAGGATCTAGTGGACTCAGACATGGCTCTAAATGAATCAACGCTGTTTTTCAGCCTTCATAAAGCACAGAAACAGTTATTTTCTCAATAGAATCCATGTTAGCCATTTAGCAACAAAGCTAGAGTCACTGGGAAGACAGAAGCCCTGCCCATCACGCCAATCCGCGTCTATTGTGAAGTGAATTTGACGGTAGAATGAAGCGGGTAAACTCAAAATGTTCACGCGCGAATAGCATGATTTATCTGCCATTGCCGCATCTGGTGTGAACACAGAATAAGGCATGCGATAGAAGAAATATTTTCCATATTAAAAGTTATTTTGTCCAAAACAACACCTGGAGAAATGAAACAGCTTCTATTTCTTGCAGCTGATCAACAGAAAACTGACAATGATAACCTCAAGTACACCTCCTGTACTTTATTCAATATTAAATTCTAATAATGTCAGTTTGAATGAACACCATAGAACTTGAAAATAAAATAAACCATTTCAAATTGAACTTTAGAACTGTGACTCACATATCAGTGATTTAGCATGTGCATTTAATAATGTTAAAAAGGTTTAATATGTATTAATTCGATTGTAAACCTTAACATTTAGTTGGAGTGCAACGAGTGCACTATTCTGTGATTCTGAATGGCTGTTTAAATTACTTTATTTTTCAAAGAGAATATCTGACTTCAGCATTGTTCTTCAGATAAATAAGAATGTTTAATTAGCATGTTTCTTAAATATCTGCAAACATATTATTGTATTATTATTCTTTAGAAGAGTCAAAAACTTGCATACAGCACCTTTAAAATCCCTAAATAAATTTTATTTAACATTCGAACTCAGCTTATTCACGACTGAACACTTGCTTAAGATGTCAACTACATCTGACTCCGAAAGCATGGAAGAAGCGCAAAATAATGGCGAAGAAAACTCGTCTTCACTTTGCAAAGGTCAAACTGGTGGTTGACACGCTGATAGAAGTGGCATTATGCAAGCAATAAATTCCATAAAAGTCAACATGGCCTCTCAGTTCGAACGTGTCCTCTCAGCTGTACAGCATATCAAAAACCATGTGGAAAAATATTTCAGAAGACTAATGCAGGCAGTAAAATAGATGATTTGGAAAATCCCATTTGCTCCAATTTAAGGATTCTTGGTCTACCAACTAGCAGTGGGCGGACTTACACAGCCTATTACAAAGTCAGACATTCCCAGCACAGGCTCATTCTGAAAACGTAGCCCTATATACATTTCTGGAGAGGGCCAAATACATCCCAGGGGATGCGCTTTTTTTTGTTGCAGTTTTTGCACCAGAGGCCGCTGTGTATGCTTTTTCAGATCTTAAATTTCTTTCGCGAATGCCATTCGCGCCTGCTCTTCTTGCGTAAATTCACCCGAGGCAGCTGACTGACTGAAAGAGTAACTGACTGAGTGATCGACTGACGCACCCTCCTCATTTCCTAAACCTAACCAAAAGTGTTTTCAAAAGCACAGATTGACCCACCTACACTCTTCCCTAAACCCAACGACAAATAAAAAGAAAAGGCCTCGCCTGATTTTTACCACATAATCAGATTTTACCACATTCTCACCCTGTCATTTACTTGTTTATTTTATTTTTTGGCTTTTGTTTTTGTCTTTCTGCTGTTTGGAATCGCCGAACTCGAACCCTGTAGTAGAAGTCAACTTTGCTCTGCATCTTAAGTCCACCAACCTGCATATAGAGCTACCGGACAAATTGGTAACAGTGGGAAGGCCATCCACACAGAGGTAAGAGGAACAGGAAACAGCAAAAAGGAAATGCATCATACCGCCCCGAAGCATTCGTTTTAAAGACGATGTACTTCTGGCTACATAATTTGCGATCTCCAGAAATGTTTATAGGGCTATATTTCAAAATGAGGTTATGTTGGACATTCTGGCATAGAACGCATGTTGCTTTTCAGATACAAAAGAAGGCAAATTGATCATGTTTCTTATATATCTGCATACATATTATGATATTTTTATAATTTAGTACAGTCCAAACTTCCATAAAGCACTTTAAAAGTAAATATGGTATTAGGAGCAAATCAAAAACAGATGTAAACCTTTGTTGTGTGGCTTGTGTTGTTCTGACCCCCTTCACAAAGAACATCTTGTCTCATTCCTGTCAGTGAGAAGAAATCTGGACAGACCTAAAACCAAAAAATAAAAAGTCTAACTGCACATTTTACATTCAATCAATTCCTTCATGTTGTCCCAACACAAACCCATTAAGTTAACTTAATTGTTTACACAAATTTGAGTGTATTAAACATTAAACTATTAAGTTGTCCCAACAAACCTCAGGAATTGTGATGCTTCAGCTCATTTTAAATAAGCAGTCTGAACAAGCAGAAAAATCGTTTTTTGAGCGTATGTTTTCCATTTATACTTTCTGTTATAAAACAATCTGACCATATAGTTTGACACATTATTTGTACAGAAGCCAGCAGTATTGATTTTGCAATACACCATGGTTTTACTATGTAAAGAATATATTAACTATTCACTGACAGTGCACTTCCGTGATTCATAAATCAGCCAAGATGGTCCATAATTCCTATAAGTGCCGTTTCTGAATAATTCTGAACAGAGAAGCCCTTAAGAAAGCTTGAGGATCTTTAGCCAGACTGAGCAATCATTTTAAAGTGACTTAAATCTAAAATTAGCTTTAAAACAAACCCTTTTTATATAAATATTTCTTCCCATTAAAATCACACATGTAAACCAGTGATATGTCACATCAGCTGGTTTTGTTACAAAAAACATTAAGGGACACTTGTGATATTGATTTTATACAACATATTAAATAATAATTGTAAGATTTTAATATTATATAATGTTTTATATACACTATTTTGCAGTGTTCAGCTTTGTTCTTTTCATCCGAATTACTCAGGCGAACCAATGATTCATAAAGCCATTTACTTCATACTTGAATTCATCAGTACAGTTATCATTTACTCACCCTTATGTTATATCAAACCTCTATAACATCTTTGCAGTAGAGTTGAAAATAACAGAGTGGACATAACAGAGTTGACATAACAGAGTTGACAATAACAGACTTGACAAAAGCAGAGTTGATAAAAGCAGAGTTTACATAACAGAGTTGACAATAACAGAGTTGACAAAAGCAGAGTTGACAATAACAGAGTTGACAAAAGCAGAGTTGACAAAAGCAGAGTTGACATAACACAGTTGACAATAACAGAGTTGACAAAAGCAGAGTTGACAATAACAGAGTTGACAAAAGCAGAGTTGATAAAAGCAGAGTAGACATAACAGAGTTGACAATAACACAGTTGACAAAAGCACAGATGACAAAAGCAAGATTGACGATAGCAGAGTAGACAATAGCGGAATTAACAAAAGCAGAGTTGACATAACAGTTGACAAAAGCCGAGTTGACAGCAGAGTGGACATAACAAAGTTGACATAACAGAGTTGACAATAACAGAGATGACAATAACAGAGTTGACAAAAGCAGAGTTGATAAAAGCAGAGTTGACATAACAGAGTTGACAATAACAGAGTTGACAAAAGCAGAGTTGACAATAACAGAGTTGACAAAAGCAGAGTTGATAAAAGCAGAGTAGACATAACAGAGTTGACAATAACACAGTTGACAAAAGCACAGTTGACAAAAGCAGAGTTGACAATAACAGAGTAGACATAACAGAGTTGACAACAGAGTTGACAATAACATAGTTGACAATAACAGAGTAGTCAATAGCAGAGTTGACAATAACAGAGTAGACAATAACAGAGTAGACAATAGCAGAGTTAACATAACAGAGTTGACAATAGCAGAGTTGACAAATAGCAGAGTTGACAATGACAGAGTTGACATAACAGAGCTGACAATAACAGAGTTGACAATAGCAGAGTTCACAAAAGCAGAGTTGGCATAACAGAGTTGACAGTAGCAGAGTTGACAATGACAGAGTTGACAAAAGCAGTGGCATACCAAATTACATGTCTAAAACAGAATTGTATGTATTTTAATAATATTATTGACAAAAGTCAAGTTGACAGCAGAGTGGACATAACAGAGTTGACATAACAGAGTTGACAATAACAGAGTTGACAAAAGCAGAGTTGACATAACAGAGTTGACAATAACAGAGTTGACAAAAGCAGAGTTGACAATAACAGAATTGACAAAAGCAAAGTTGACAAAAGCAAGATTGACGATAGCAGAGTAGACAATAGCGGAATTAACAAAAGCAGAGTTGACATAACAGTTGACAAAAGCCGAGTTGACAGCAGAGTGGACATAACAAAGTTGACATAACAGAGTTGACAATAACAGAGTTGACAATAACAGAGTTGACAAAAGCAGAGTTGATAAAAGCAGAGTTGACATAACAGAGTTAACAATAACACAGTTGACAAAAGCACAGTCGACAAAAGCAGAGTTGACAATAACAGAGTAGACATAACAGAGTTGACATAACAGAGTTGACAATAACAGAGTTGACAATAACAGAGTAGTCAATAGCAGAGTTGACAATAACAGAGTTGACATTAACAGAGTAGACAATAACAGAGTAGACAATAGCAGAGTTAACATAACAGAGTTGACAATAGCAGAGTTGACAAATAGCAGAGTTGACAATGACAGAGTTGACAAAAGCAGAGTTGACATAACAGAGCTGACAATAACAGAGTTGACAATAGCAGAGTTCACAAAAGCAGAGTTGGCATAACAGAGTTGACAGTAGCAGAGTTGACAAATAGCAGAGTTGACAATGACAGAGTTGACAAAAGCAGTGGCATACCAAATTACATGTCTAAAACAGAATTGTATGTATTTTAATAATATTATTGTTTTCAAAAAGTCAATGAGAAATGCTTTTTTTAATCAGTGTTTTATAGATTGTTTTGTGTCTTTATATAAGAGTTGACCAGAACATAGGGTTCTTATCTTTCATCTTAACTTGGTACACTCACTATATATATATATATATATATATATATATATATATATATATATACACAGTTGAAACCAGAAGTTTACATACATTTCCTTGGTATTTTTTTAGCTTTGCTTTTAAACTGTATAACTTGATAACTTGGGTTGTTGTACAAAAATATCACAAAATATCCCTAAATACAAGCCTGATCTCACAAGGAAATATAACCATTTAATGTTTTTTTCAGTTTAGTTGCTAATTCATATGAGTTGAGTCATACAAAAATGTACGATTTTAAATAGGAGGCAAAGCACCTAACCCAACCACTAAACCCAACCCTCATTGGGGATAAGCAAATCGTACTAAATTGTACTAATGAGATCATGCAATTTTATATAAATTAAACACTAATATAAAAATTTACGAATTGCCATGAAATTGTGTTGTAAATACAAATACAAACATAATTTTTTTTCTCCTATATAAAGCTGTGAGAAGTCTTTTTTAGGGCTCAGCAATGGAGCTTTAGGCTGATAGAGCCCCACTTTCAAGATTGCCTTGCTATTACTAAGGGCATCAGTGATTACATTACTATTACAAGTACGAGCTCACATATCCTTGCTGTATCGACAACTGTTTCTTAAGCGCAGCGTGATTTTGCTAAATGCAGAACCATGCCAGCCATAAAACATTCTAGACTAAATACATTATTGATTCTCTGACCCTGGGTTTGGAAAATAGCCCAAATCTTTTCTCTTTTTTTCCAGAAACAATGAGAAGACTGCTTGGCGATGAAAAAAATGACAAAGCTCTTTCCTTTTGTCCAGTGATTTTTAAGTAACAAGATGATTGAAAGCACTCAGCAATGAAGGATGTACTAATATTTTTACAAGATCCTTCTGAGAGTTTAATCAAATTCAGCCTTTAAAGGTTTTTGGTTGATTAAAACCATCTAAATCGCTGTATCCATTTGATAAATGGGTTTAAAAATCAATGCACACAAAGCCCTTTATTCTCTGGAATCCACAAATAAAATCTGTTCTTCATTCATGTCGACAGACAACAGCTTTATTGACATCCTAGCATATTTTCCCATGTCTCACTTTGCGAGCAGTTGCTTTTAACTCAAGACAACTTGAATTAAGGACGATTTGTGAGTGAAAATATATTCCTGAAGCATTTTCCCTCCATATAATGCTTTAGTGCTCTGCTAGCGTTTCCAAGAAGGCAGAAAAGCATTCAAACCCAGGATGTACGCTCTTCATAATCAATATGTTTAATCCAAAGCATTCCGTTCATATCCCTTCGCAAGGCCAAGGTCTCTACATACCTGTATCGATAGATTCGAGCCAAAGCAGAGCAATGAAATTTCAAGAAAGCATGTTGCGTCAATAACCGTCAGCCTCCTCTTGCTCCTCTCGAGACCTGTAAGGGTTTTTAAAATACCCGATAATGCTGCTGGCAGATTTGTGGCTTTGTGGGCCGCGTGCCAGTGTGTGAAACTGTGTAGGGCAGCAGTTTCCTGCCAAATGATGTGCGGAATGAGTTCTTCCTAGCCGGCCCGACACCCTGACCTTGCCCCCTTTTCAGCATGGAGGTGAAGAACTGAACAGAAATAACCATGTGCCACTTTTCGTCAAAGCGCTGTCGTTGAGTTTGGGCGTTTGATTTATGATGTTTACCAAGGCCAGTATGGTTACTAAATTATTCATCCTTAGAACTGGTGATTTGATCCTCTAAACCTGAAGGTAGAAATATAAAACATTTGACTGAAGTGATCTGAGCATGCGGAGGAATGTTTACAGGTGCATTTTCACTTAGACATGGTCAAAGTACCTTTCAAGGCTATTCTGTTCCTGACATCAGACTCTGGCAGATATTCCATGTAAGTATATTGCCTTTTTATGATGAGTCTATTGATGACTTCCTCATTTAGCTTTGGATAAAAGCCTTCGCTAAATGACTAAACGTAAATCTATCTGCTGATTGGCAGAATGGAATATACATATTACCAAAAATGCACGTTTAAATAACATATTTTAAATAAGATCTGACTTAAATGGCATCACAGAAACTGTTACGGTTGATTTATTGTTACAACAGTGCAAGGTAAAGCAAAGGCTGAGCACAATTGCGCAACGTTTTTTATTATTATTATTTTGTCTTTATCTAAAGATTCTTAAAGGGCACCTATGATGAAAAGCATCTATTGTAAGCTGTTTGGACAGAACAGAGTGTGGGTATAGTCTGTCCACGGTCATATTGGAGTGATAAAAACATAATCAGTCTCTTTTTTTAAATTTCCTGACTTTAAAATAGGATCCAAATCCCTCTCTTTTTGAGGCCCACTGCAACGTGACATAGGAGTGTGGTTTTCCCACCCACTGATTTGATTGTCAGCCACGTATTAACATGTCTCCGTAGTAAGACAGGACATGCGCAAAGCAACTGGGATTAAAAGATCTGTTCAGCGCTCTGTGATCATCAATGATCATCAAATGTGATCAAGAATGAGTTTTACAAGTTTAAAACATTTTTAAAACAGTGCATGTTTGTAATGAATTACAGTGATTTTACCGTCTTTACTTTATTGTCCCTCAAGGGGCACTTAAGCAAGTTCTGGCACAATAACAATAAAAAAAAAGTAAACGTGCAAAAGAATTACATACAGAGAAAAAAAAACATAACACACTATTGATCAGTGTTCAACAGCCTGATTGACACTGGGATAAAAGAGTTCTTAAGTCTGTTCCACTTACAGTGGAAGGTTCTGTATCTTCTACCAGTAGGTAAAAGATCGTAAAATGGGAAGAGTGCATGAGATGGGTTATTTAAAATTCTTTTCGCTTCATTCAGAGTGCATTGCTCGTAAAGTGTTTGAATTCTAGTAAAAGTTTCAGATCCTATTAGTCTCATAGCAGTTCTGATAATATTACAAATTTTTGATTTCAGATTTACAGAAAGATTGCCATATCATGTAGATCACAGGTGTCAAACTCAGTTCCAAAAGGGCTGCAGCTCTGCAGTTTAATTCCAACCCTAATTAAACACACCTGATCAAACTAATTGAGTCCTTCAGGCTTGTTTGAAACCTACAGGTAAGTGTGTTGGAGCAGGGTTGGAACTAAACTGTGCAGGGCTTCGGCCCTCCAGGAATTGAGTTTGACACCCCTGATGTAGATAGACCATACCTGATAATACTCTCAAATACAGCCTGATAAAATAAGTATATGCTTTTCTTATCAACACCATAGAACCATAACCTTAGTAGAAACTACAGTCTTTGGTGAAGCTTTTTACAGATCCAGTTTTCGTGAGTGTCCCGTGTTATGGGCCATGTCTGTTTAAATTCCCAAATACTTGTATTTTGTATTTACAAATAAAATTTTTCATCACACCACTTAACAAATAAATAAATTTTAGCTAAAATAAACAGAAACAGGATCTTGTTTGTTCAGCGAACATTAAATCTTGTTTATTTTGTACATTAACATAACGGATATCTATACAGCAGTGGATATTAACTTGTATCCTGTCACATTTGCAGTGCAAAACCAGTGCAAAGCTAAATGTGTGCTCTGTGCATGTGCGTGAATTTTGTAACAACATTGTGTGTGACTCATCGTTGCAGAAAGGCTTGAATTAACTTCACAACAAATACATAAGATAATCGTTGGTAAAGTTCCCACTGCAGTATTTCTCACAAACGTTACATGAAATCTGCTTCCTTCATGTCTGACACATTGCTGTTTATCTGACGGAGCCGAGGTGGATTTTGAGGCACACTCTGACAGGCACGTGAAAACAGTGGGAGGGGAGAACTAGCATTAAAGGCACAGGCCAAAAAAAAAAACAGCTACACAGTATACTGAGCAGAAAATTATAATATTCCTAAAGGTATAATAAATAATCTGATGGGTGTTTTGAGCTGACACTTTACAGACACATTTTGGAGCCACAAAAGACTTTTCTTAAATCTTGAAAAGGGGCTAAAAGAGATATAAAGCACATCCATGTCATTGTCAACCAATTTTATCGATTGACCCGGCCACCTGCTTACTTGCCTAAACCCAACCAACAATTTACAAAAGCCGTCCAGAAAAAGAAAAGCCCTCGTCTGATTTTTACCACATTTTCAGATTTTACCACATTCTCACCCTGTTATGAACTTGGTCACTGTATTATTTGGATTCTGTTTATGTCTTGCCTGATTTCTGGAACCGCTCTTCCCCGGACTTAGACCCGGTCGTCGTCATGGTCAGCTCCTCTCTGCATCTCAAGTCCGCCAACGTACACGACAAGCTAACTGGACAAACTGGTTGCAGCAGAAAAGTCCTCCACACTGAGGTAAGCAGTCAGCTGGTAAGATTGAAAAGGAACGGCGTCATACCGCTTCGTAGCTTTCGCTTAAAAAATTAAATGCAGCCATAAGTACACTTTATTTACAATAGTGCTTAATACATGTCCATTATTAAGAAATATAGGCTATTTATTACACTGTTAGCAATCTTTGTAAATTACACAGCATGTAACTGTAATACGCACATTTTTTTTATTGTAGGACAGTTATGCAGAATGTTGCTGTATTGCATATTGAATATTACCATATTTTACAGTGAAGATGAACAATACTGAAAATACACGTATAGCAGGCCACGCAGTGGCGCAGTAGGTAGTGCTGTCACCTCACAGCAAGAAGGTCGCTGGTTCGAGCCTCTGGCTGGGTCAGTTGGCATTTCTGTGTGAGTTTGCATGTTCTCCCTGTGTTCGCGTGGGTTTCCTCCAGGTGCTCCGGTTTCCCCCACATTCTAAAGACATGTGGTACAGGGGAATTGGGTAGGCCAAATTGTCCGTTGTGAATGAGTGTGTATGGATGTTTCCCAGAGATGGGTTGCAAGTGGAAGGGTATCCGCTGCTCAAAACATGTGCTGGAAAAGTTGGCGAGTCATTCTGCTGTGGTGACCCCCGATTAATAAAGGGACTAAGCCGAAAAGAAAATGAATGAATGAATGAATAAATGACACGTACAGCAAGATAAATGAAGCTGTTACTGCAAATTCATTATTCTTACTGTAATTGATTTACAGTAAGTTTTCAGCAGATTCTACAGGAAATTGTTATCTGTGTAAGTAGATATGATCCACCTACCTAATCCTACCAAATAAAACTTTACAGACCATTAATACGCAGAAAGTTAGTAGTTCATTGAGCTAAAAGTGGTAGCTAATCAGAGAATTGTACTGTAAAATATATAGTGACCATGTACAGTGAAGTCAGAATTATTATTATTTTATTAATCATATTTATTTCCCAAATGATGTTCAACAGAGCAAGGACATTTTCACAGTATGTCTGATAATATTTTTTCTTCTAGAGAAAGTCTTATTTGTTTTATTTCAGCTAGAATAAAAGCAGTTTTACATTTTTTAAACACCATTTTAAGGACAAAATTATGAGCCCCTTTAGGCTAATTAATTTTATTTCTTTGATAGACTACAGACCAAATCATCATTATACAATAGCTTGCCTAATTACCCTAACCTGCCTAGTTAACCTAATTAACCTAGTGAAGCCTTTAAATCTCACTTTTAGCTGTATAGAAGTGTCTTGAAAAAGATCCAGTAAAATATTATTTACTGTCATCGTGGCAAAGATGAAATAAATCAGTTATTAGAAATGAGTTATTAAAACTATTGTGTTTAGAAATGTGTTGAATTTGTTTTCTCCCCATTAAACATAAATAAACAGCGGGGGCTAATAATTATGACTTCAACTGTATATAATTGGTCAATCCTAAAAATTCCACCTGATTGATAATAAAAACAATGCATCGGCATATGGCAACCTTCCAGAAAACCGTAGTAAGCAAGCATTTAACAGCGCACTAAATAACCAACTGCTCGTATCTTGCAGCCGGGACAGCTGGACAGGCAAAGCACCACTTTAGTTTGTGGCTTTATTTACAGATTACATGCAAACATGCATTATGCTGGACATAAAGTTGACACTAAGAAATATAGGCAGCAATAACAGCAGGCATTGCAATAAAGGAATGCGCGTCGAACGTGGCTTTATTTTAACCACAGGGAGACAGCAGGTTTTCTTTGCTGACTGAAAGTCTCAACATATCAGAAAGATGACAGATATATCATTTTGTCCCAAGGGCAAACTGATGAGAGGAATGCAGAACTGCTGTAAGTGCAGGAAAAGGCAGACTCTTTTATCTCCGTCCACGTGAATGCACATAGAGATGATAATTGGACTTTTTGATGGTGTCTTTTAAATTCCGAAATCCATTTAACACTTTTTCACACTTTGTCGCAAATGGAATGGAGTCAAATCTTTTCATTTTCCTTTTTTTTTCCTCCTGCAAAGAGCCCATTTCTCAAAACGATGCTATCTCCGACTTTAACTTCATTGCTGAGGCTGACTTGTTCTCTTTTT